TTTTTTGTTTTGAGTCATGTATTAAAACTACACAACATTAATTTCATTTCATTACATGTCTATATAGTAGAGATCAAGTACTATATATATATACACCTATTTAATATGAAAAATCCTTAAATATAAAATAAAATAAAAAAATCAAACTCCAGTGCTAAGAAAAAAATGAGATAAAAATCCGCAAAATGATATTTTGGTTGTACGACACATTCATGGGCAATCAAGCACAAAAAACACACAATGTTCATAAAACTTTTTATTCTATCAGACTTTGTAGAGCTTTTTTCGCTGATCATTTTGGTTAAAAAAACATTTAGAGTTTCATTGAGAAATGACGGTGTTATAGTCAAAATATTAAACACTCGGAAATCCCGAGGGCTTCAAAATGTTTACAACATAGTTTGTTTTGCGAATATCTCTGCACAGACAAATGCTAAATTGAGGGTGAGGGTGAGTGAATGAGGGCGAGTGTCTCTTCCTCACTCTCATCCACCCTCAGGTCAACGTCAAAATTACCAAATACAAGTCGAATAAATGGCAAGAATTCTTATTGACTATGCGGTGATATTTGATTTTAATTACTGCATGCATTTTTCCAAATGTCCTCCTTTTTTAAAGAAAAAAAAGTGACTAGGACTGCACATGTTAATGCGACACGTTCGTTTTCGAATCAACAGGTGTTATTCACTTTGAATAGGTATATGAGGCTTCTTGATATTTAAGAATGATGATGAACATCTTAGTCGATCTGAACTACTGTAGTTGTTCTGTCTGTAAATGATACAATGATGCTATGTGAATAGAAGGCTTTATTTCATATTAATATGAATAAATTGTACAGGGTGCCCCAAAGTTCATGATCACTTAAGAAAATGGAATATCTCCACCCGTTGCATTCTGAAGAGCTGAAATTTTACCTGATGATAGAGAGATACTTAATGTTTTTATGGCTACGAATGAACCTTACAAATAATGTTAAAAAGTATCATATTTGATCAAAATACAAAACTTTAAACTTTTTCGTTTTTCCAAAAACAAATCTTATTTTTTAAATTATTTCAATTTTTTTGTGATATTTTTAGTTTTTCAGTTATTGACCTCATGCACCGCTGTCCGAATGATTTTTTGCTTGTTTTACCGAACCTTACCTCAATGGACTTCTTTCCGTTAGAGTCTCTCGAACAAATCATTGGAACGGCAGTTCATGACGTCAAAAACTGAAAAACTAAAAATATCACGCAAAATGAAATGATATAAAAAATAAGACTTTTTTTGGAAAAACGAAAAAGTTTAAATTTGTGTATTTTGATCAAATATGATACCTTTGAACATTATTTGTAAGCTGCACTCGTAGCCATAAAAACATTAAGTATATCTCTATCATCAGGCAAAATTTCAGCTTTTCAGACTGTAGCGGGGTGGAGATATTCCATTTTCTTAAGTGATCATGAATTTTGGGACATCCTTTATAACTCTTGTCTGATAACAAAAACAACACAGTTTATGAATAAAAGTTTCATGAAAGTAGATATTCATAAAGAAGATCATCAAAAGTTGACATTCATTGAGAAATAGTCGCTGGACTTGTAACAGCTATGAAAGTGTTCTGATCTGTATCCTCTTCGAAACCAGAAAATATTTCTCTGCAAATAATGCATTGTGGCTCTTCATTAATTCGTTGCGCGGCGGTCAGACATGTTGTACACATAGTCTTGTGTTGACAAGGTAAACATCGGGCAGTACGTGGAGCGTCCCAACAGACAAGACACAGTTTCGAATTAACGATTTGATCGGCGACTTTATTGAGTTCTTCGATGATTTCGTTTGTAGTAGGTCTTTCTGTCGCTTCTGTACTAATACAACGAACTATCAAACGACAATAGCTGTCAGGTACACGAGTTCAATCAAGTGTATTGATATCGATTTCGGTCAGAGTCTGAGGTTCATGAAAAATATCTTTGGGAGCAACAACATACATAAGAACACCAAGACAGGAAACATCAACAGCGGCTCCTTGATACGAATATTGACGATCACTTTGAGTGATTTCAGGAGCGAAAGGTCGAGATCCAATGAAAGTCGAATTTTCTTTTCCGTGTTGACAAGTACCGAAATCGGCCAGAAAAACCTAATCATTTGTATCGAGCAAAATATTCTTAACTTTGGCATCGCGATGCACAAGTTCATAGGCATGCATATGAGCAATAACTTGAGCAATGTCAAGTGCAATTTGAATAGCTTTGCCAATTGTTACTTCATTTGTATGATCCATTAGATAAGAATGAAGACTTCTTGAATAACGTGGCAAAACAATTGCGAATTGTTGTGAATCTTTCACTGTCTCGTAAAGATAGATGAGAGGAACCATATGTTGAATTTGAAGACAAGTAACTGTGCGATGGAAATGTGCTTCTAAGTAAGCAATATTTCTATCATGACTTGGATTTTTAAGTTCTTTAACAACCAAGTTTTGTTATGAATCCCATGAAGCTGGATAAATAGTGAAAAAACCACCTGTATCGAGGGTGTGGGTGGGTGTGGATGTGGGTGTGTGGGTGTGGGTGTAGGTGTGTGGTGTGGATGGGTGTGGGTCCGAAAAAAGACCATTGTGGACAAAAATATCCACCCACATTCACACCCATCCACCCACACCCACCCACACCCACACCCACATCCATACCCACCCACACCCAGATAGATTGATGTCATAGCTGCAGCAAATTCACTGCTTAGACATATATCAATAGAAGCGGTATAGTTGAGATAGACAGCGATACGAATTGAAGGTTCTTAGGAAAAAAAAGTTATTTGTTATCTTTTTGTTATTAACAACAAATAATAATAACAATTAATTCACACCCCTATTGGTAACTATAATGGATATTGATTGAAATGTTTCATTAATAATTAAAAAGATGTTAAAGAAAAAAATAATAGCTAAAAGATTTTTTTGTATTAATTACATTTTCAAATTGACATTCATTTTGTTAATTCTAAAATATTTTTATAGAAATTTTTAAGAAGAAAATAAATTAATTTATCAACTATTTCAAATCATTTATCGATTAAATTTAGTTAAATTAATCACTGAATAATTATTAGAAGATGGAAGAGTTCGATTTTCTCGTCTGATCTATATCAATAAAATGATGATAGAAATCTATAATAGAAAATAAATATAAATATTCTTCATTTGGTACTGTTTGCTGATAATCAATGTCTTCTAATAGATCATTATTAGTCCAAGGAAGAAGATCGATAGTTACTGATTCTGAATATATTTAATGAAAATTTTATTGAAATAATCATTGAAAGAGAAAAGATGTCATTGAAACATTCGCTTAAGGGGGAACCCCCCCTCAGAAAGTCGATTTTTCTTAAAAAACTCGATTTTTGAAAAAACACATATTCTAGTAGCCCTGAGTGTCCTCTTTCAGAATATGTATAAATTATATAAGAATGGAACATATTTTGCCAAATTCTGGGGCGTCTATTGGAAGTCATAGTGGAAAATCGACTGTTGTGTTGATTTTTTTTCCTTAGTTACCGGTAATTAATATCGTTCCATCTTCTTTATCAGAAGTATAAAACCATCGACGTATCAAGTAATCATGTTCTATCTGTTGCAGTCAGAGAAGGAAGCTTCAAAATTAGGTTATTTTTCGAAAAGGTGGCGCTACAGTAAACTTGGATTTAGAAATTAGCTTAATTTTTTCTTGAAAGCATCATCAACTGCAAGACCTTTTTACACACTTTCCAATGATATATAATATGCTCCAATTTTCTACACAGGAACATCATCAACTACTTCGCAATGTTGTTATTCGTTTTTCTCAGCTTCACTTTTTTATCGTTTACTGATCACTGCGGAACATTTTCCCAGTCCACTGTTTGACGTACGCTGCTGATATTTTTTTTATTCAAAAGATGAGACTTTTTTCTAGAAATTGTCGGAACAGATTTCTAAAATATATCTCCGTTGTTCAGATATTAGAAAATCTTTGAAAGAGATCAAAGCAGTTTTTTCGATTTTCGATTTAAAATGATCACTACTATTGAACAAAGATGAATTTCAAAAAACTGTCCCCACAATTTCTAGATAAAAGATTTTTCTTCATTTTGAAACAAATTTCAACATTTTCCATGCTATCGCGCCTCGGGAAAATGTTCCGTGCCAAAAGCCCCATTTTCATGAGTAAATTGAGTATAACTCCTCAATTATCAAAAATGATTGGTTCAAATTTTTATCAGATGCTAGTTACATTAGCTTTTCTATTTCCTGAAATTTTCATCGAAATCTCTTGAACCGTTTAGAAGATAGGTTTCTGAGGGGGGGTTCCCCCTTAATTAGAATATTCAATTACAGAACCGAATTTATCTTCAATATATGAATAATGCTCACGATCTTGAACATTTCCTCGATCTACTATTAATGCATATGTAGTTATCATTAAATTTCCATGTATATTCAATAATAGCATTGATTTTATTTTCTTCATTTGATAACGTAAACATTAATCGAGAAAGTCATTCAACTAATTGAGATAATTGCTTAAGTTGACTTCGAATATTATTTATTGAAAAAGTATATGCATAAACAATTAGAAAAGTCCTTGAAAAAAAGTGATAATAATCTTTTAAAAACTAAATCTTTTTGTTTTTTTTAATTGATATCGAAGGATCATCTTTGAAAAGAATATGTTCAACATTTACACGTACTTTACGTTACATAGTTTCACTTTGATCATATTCTATTTAAACTATAGAAAAATAATCACCTTCATCAAAAATTTATTTTTAAACAAATTAAATTAATTTATTTTTTTTGTTAATTCATTTAAATGATTTTGAAGTTTATGAAATATATTAGGATAGAATATTTTAAGTACATCGAATAACTGAAGTTGTGAACGATGTAAATCAACGAAACTATTGAGTAATGTTTTTTTGTTTAGTAGATCATCATGTTCAGTATAAATCTATTTCATAAATATCTGAAAGAATCA